GGATTTGGGCCCATTTTATTCGGTCAAACCGCGAACTCACTTATTATGCTCATTGTCAAGGAAGCCTGCGTATTGTACGAGCAACTACGGAACTCTACCTCTAAATTGTGCGTGGTCCGATACGCACTTGGCCAGTGTTTTTATTTTTCTTCTTTTAGGAATATTCGTAGTTTCGTTTATCTATGTCTAATTTAATTAATATAAAATATAATTAATATTTCAGAAAAAAAAAAACTCTACCCTTTCCAATAAGTTAACTTTCACCACGATGAAATCTGTCAAATATTTACTCAGTCGCGCCGCCCTGGTGCAGAAAAAGCAGCGGTTGCCTGTGAAGCTGAGCTACCGCGTGATATACATTATCGGTCGTTTCATCTGAAATTTTCATCAAAAAAACTACGTTAATTGGTGGTAGGACTGCTTTTCTGCCTAGGAATTTCTTTGAGTAGGTACCAAGCTTTATCTTCGAGATAGAGATTTTCTACGTGGTAGAGCCATGCTGCAGCTATATTAATAGTATAGTTGTAGCACGAATGGGTCGGCTCGACCGGGGAAGGACCACGCTCTCACAGAATACCAGCGTAAAGTAGCAGCTTAATGTGCTCCTATGTTTCGTATGGTGAGTGTAGAGAACCGGAGACCCATTTTACTGGAAAAGAGGCATTCCATCTTAGGCCTCACGGGTGACAACGCATCTGCACTTTGATTCGCAAACGAAGATAGATGTAGATGTCATTGGGCCACAGCAACCACTTACCATCAGGTGCATTGCGTGCTCGTTTGTCACCCTTATTCTATAAAAAAAAGAGAGCCAATATAATGAGGGCATCCACGACTTTTTCTGCCACCAGGGCGGCGCCACTTTACAATGAGGTTAACTATTTTAGAGATTTTATGGCGGTAAAGATAATTTCTTAGAAAAATGTAAAGGTTAATGTTTCTTTCTGTATTATTAGTTATATTTTATATTAATTACATTAAAAATAAATAAACCAAACTATAAATATAACCTCAAAGTAAACATAAATAAAAAGAGGTATAGTGTACAAAAAAATAAAGATCAAACCACTGACGCATTGTGTTGTGTATTAATATAACACCCTAAAACTGTTATTTAAAACGAATTTCTCAATTAAGTGACATTGTGTATCAGAAGACTACCTTAGCTCAGTCACAGCTAGCGACATCTGGTGAGTGGAAGATTATTAGACTTCATTAAAGTGTGCCAAAGTCACTATCAAAGGTACTGCGGTATACTACTCGTATATAGTATAACTCTTTCCTACGGAGTGTTGGCCGCTCCCTTGACCGACCAGTGATAAGCTTACCCGGCGGAAGATCTTTCCTTCTCCTTCCACTGCTAATTTAGCTTGGAAGGCAATCTATCTGGTTGCATGTTTATTTGTCACTTCAGCTTGAGGCATTCCACCTGAGTCCTCAGAGGTGATACATATGCAGCCTTCTTTGTTTGTACCAGGCTGCGGATCAAATGTTGTGTCATTTCAGTTTTATAAAAATCTTTTTAATTTTTCTAGTAGATACGATAAATGAGGGACACAGAGTAAATGGGGCTATTCACTCTATTGTGGGAGGCCAGAATGTGTTAAAAAGGCACGTGTGGCATTTCACAATGTTGTGTTAACGTATAGTAGTGAAAGTTGGGTGTGGCAGAATAAGCACGAGAGTAGAATAAATGGGTAGAAGTGCGGTTAATAACGAGTATGTTAGGGCTGAATCTGAATGACAGGGTGAGATATTGTGTGATAAGAGAAAACTGTAGTTTGCAAGATGATATTGTGACCTGGATTAAGAAAGGAATGCTTCGGTGGTTTGGTCATGTAGGAAGAATGAACGACGAAAGAGTGACAAAGCAAATTTATGTTGCAGAAGTGAAGGGCAGAGCCAGGAAGAGACGCTCTAGACGAAAGTTTATCGACCAAATTGGCGATATATTGAAGAGGACCCTTAACCGACGAGCATGTATGCGTAGGTATATTGATTTAAAGAGGCGAGGGAGATGTGTCATGATCGTGCCAAATGGAAAGAGTGAGTTGGATTGAATGGAGTGAGTGTTTATGATTATGAATTTTTATAGGTGGTAGAGCCACGCCGAATCTGTATAATATCAGCATTTTGAATCAGTCGGCTCTCAGCCCACGCTCTCAAAGAATACCGGCGTTAAATAAGTAGCTACATAATGCTACTGTGTTTGAAATAAAGGCATTACGTGCGGTTATTTCTCTCTATGTAGGATTTTTAATTTCAAAGAACTTTGTTTACTTTGTGAAATGTTTATTCAAACCGCGTACTGAGTATGATCGATTCGCTTCTATTTCGGTGTTGGCGCTATAAACACTAAAATGTGGTGTTGTTGTTTGCGAACCGTGCTCTGATTGTTTGTGTAAGGCACGCAAGGCACGTGGCTTTGGCCAGAGTGCTGCAATGTCGTTTACTTGCGTTTTTTATAAACCTATTGTTTGAATGAATATAATATTAAGTGTTTCTTTTACTCATTTTTTAAAACAGCCAATTGGTTTTTGTTTGTTATTTAGTGGCGTTCAAATCTGACACAGGTATTTCAATTAATTAAGTTGAAATATGTCAAATTTGCATACCATACACGAACATTGTATTTGATATCAAATAGCAGAACAGTAATATAACAACAATGCAGTCGTCATTGTTGTTATATTGAAAAATCATCATCTTTGTAGGAAGGAAAAAAGACACCGCTTAACATTTAATATTGTTAACACAGCAATATTACAGTAACAATAATTGCTATTGCTTTTTTTATAGGCGCTACCATGACTTTATTGGACGATTTAAAAACTTTACGTAAATAAACTCATAATAACAGCATATTTATATTGCTGTGTTCAAATTCCTCTCATAAATTTGAAATACTCAGGAGGCTAAGTCGACGCTGGTGGTCAGTCCAAAAAAGAACGGGAAGAGTCATTCGTGCTGTTTCAGGGCGTGTTAAAGCACTCTATGCTTTTAAATATTCATATACTATTGTTGTCGTGTAGGTTTCACCATTATGTTTTCCTTTATCGCCGAAAATGAAGTAAATTAGTATGTTAATTAGCAATTAATTTGGCGGTTGCCAAACCGCCTGCCAAGCGTGGCAATTGTAACCAATATCTGGCTTATTTTCAAGAGTGAAATTCGATCAGTAATTATGAATAATTAATTTTGGGGGTAGTCATATGAATATAAATGAAATAATTTAAAATTAAAAATTTTGTATAGCTGACTTCAATATTAAGAATAACTAAATAATTATTGGTTAGACCTTGATCAAATTCATATGGGACCACACGAGAAGTATCAGCTTTCAAATAAAAAAAGAATCATCGAAACCGGTGCACCCAGTAAAAAGCTATGAAGTAACACACATAAAAAAACATACAGTCGAATTGAGTACCGTCTCCTTTTTGTTAGTCGGCAGAAAAAGAGACAGCTAAGGGTGGAGATGAAGTTTTGATGTAACTATTTAAACAACATTCTGGTTGTTACCTTGCGCTTGTGATATTCCTTATTCCATTTATCTCCATTTTTTATAGGACAGGGTAACAAACGAGCACACATTCCACCTGATGGTAAGTGGTTGCTGTGGCCCATTACACATCTACATCTATCCTCGTTTGCGAATCAAAATGCAGATGCGTTGTTACCCACGAGTACTAACATGGAATGCCTCTTTTCCAGTAAAAAGGGTTTTCGGTTCTCTACACTCACCATACGAAACACAAAAGTGTCAAGCTGCTATTTTACGCTGGTATTCTGTGAGAGCATGGTCCTTCCCTGGTCGAGCCGACCCATTCGTGCTACAACTATACAACTAATATAGCTATAGCATGGCTCTACCACGTATAAGACTTTTTTGAAAATTCGCGAGTTATTACAAAACATATTTGTAATGACTCGCGAATTCTAATAAATAACATTTAAAAAGTATTGTTCTGCAAAAGATATATTATTGACCTCGGTCATACCATAGATCTGACTAAAATATATAGAAGAACCTACGACATTTTTTCATCAAGTTATGCTCCATTCATTATTCATAATCAGCGCCATCTAACGTGTCTAATGTGGTACTACTACAAATAATTATTTTTAGTTTTCTTACAGATGGCGCTTGTATTACAATAAAAATATATTTTTTGAAAATTGTCATATCTTCTATTTTTTATAAATATGGATAAAATAATATTTATATGATTGATAACACATCTAGACATGAATCGAAAATACTATGTCCTGAAAGTGTGATAGTTTCTCAGTAAAGTGTACCAGAAAAATGCATAGATTGTGGGATAGTGCAGGGCTCGCTTCGCTCGCCCAGATAAATTATAAACCGACTTCAAAAACTGAAAATAAAAACATAATTCCTACATAATAGCTTCTGAAGTTGGTGTTTAGACAACTTGTTTTGAAGAATTAATGCCCCTAAAATTATTATATGGAAATTATTTTATTTCCAAAAACTACATTTTTTAATCCGTTTTCCGTTCCGTTTTAAATAAAATTTTTCGTTTCCTAGCTCAACGCAATCATTTTTTTTTGTACTATTGATCTTATTATTTCGTAAGTATTTAAACGCGAATTTATTTTATGTTTATATACAATATAAGTATGTCTGGTAATTTTAGCATTTTTTAACACTTACTAACTTTTAATTGTCTAATTCTTCCATTAGTCCGTTTTGTAATTGTAACTCTTAGATTAAGGTGTAGCACAATAAAGATTAAATAAATACTTTACTTGTTATGTATCACTATCACACTATCACTACAGTCCATCACAAGTCCACTGCTGAACTAAGAACTTCTCTGGAGACTGCCACAGAGTACGGCATTGAGCCAACTTCATCCATCGACTACCTACGTGTTTCATCAGGCCATCCCTAGTCGTCTTACTGCTCTTGTATGAGGCTGCCACTCAAAACCTTGCATGAATATATAACTTAAGTATTTTTCTGTTTGTTTCAGAAATACGTCGTCAGTACTGACCGCAGTGGGGACATACATGTTCATGTTCAAGTGAGTCCATGTCAATTGATATAATAATAATTAGGGCTGATTCTTCAATCTAAAAAACCTGACTGAATATAAAATTGAAACATTTTTTTTTATTTCACAGACATGCAAGTTTTCTCACGATGTTTTCCTTTACCGCCAAACACGCGATAAATCACCATTTAAAATTGAAATTAACAATTTCATTGTCGCTGTCGGTAATCGAACCCGGGTTGCTCGGGTATTGTGAAATTTATAGCGTGACCTAAGCCCCTGAGTTACCATGGTTAAGGCGGTATTAACCACATATTAACAATGCACTGAAATAAAGTTTACTACGCACTTTACATCACTTTAAATAACAAAAACATGGTTTATTCAAACAACTGTAGATATCTGTGTATCAAAGGGTAGTAAAATCGGCCTTAACTCTAATAAGATTCCTTGATTATAATTATCGTTACAATTAATATTCTAGCATTTAGTGGAGCCTTGCTGCAGTTTTATTATGAATGCAGTTCAAATGGGTCGACTCGACCGGGGTAGGATCACGCTCTCATAGAATATTAGCGTGAAATAGCATTGAATGCTGCTGTGTTGCGTATGGCAAGTTAAGGGTTCGGTGACAATTTTTACTGGTGTCTAGGCATTCCATCTTAGTCCTCAGCGGTGACATTGCATCTGCATATTGATTTTTATTCGAGGATAGATGTAGATGTCTATAGGTCATTGTATCGACTTATCATCAGGAGTACTATGTGCTCACGTGTCACCCTTATTATATTAAAAAAAAATCCTATCTTGTATTTGAAACAAGGATCATTGATTCTTGACTCATCAATTGTAGGGCTGTCACCTGTAAAATCATTTAGGCCTGTTTTAATCAGACACATGGCAGTGGGTCTACCAAGTTCAAAGAAGAAAGGAGAAGTGCCGAAGCACCGGCAGTGTTTAATATTTACACAAATATTTCAAGCCAATTTGGTACCCCCTATAACTTACAAGTTATTAGATCTACACACTTCGAGCTATAGGGCTGACCCATTGCCACTTCAGCTTACTCATAAATAGGTTCTACAGTTGGTGTTAAGACTTGTTTTGAAAAAATTCCCTAAAATTATTATGTGGGCATTATTTTATTTCTAAATACTAAATTTTTGAATCCGTTTTGACTTTTCTACCGACTTCAAAAAGGAGACGGTACTCAATTCTATTGTATGTTTTTTTATGTGTGTTACCTCATAACTTTTTACTGGGTGAACCGATTTCGATGATTATTTTTTTATTTGAAAGCTGGTGCTTCACTTGTGGTCCCATATAAATTTGATAAAGGTTTGACCAATAATTTTTGAGTTATTCTCAATAATTTATATTGAAGTCGGTTGTACACAACTTTTAATTTTTAATTATTTAAGCATAATTTTTCGTTTCCTAGCTCACGCATTCGTTTTTTATACTATTGACATTGAATTATATGTACTACGTACTAGAGAAGCCATTCCGAACATTGATTATGTTCAACTGAACTGTAGTGCAATCCATACAAACTAAATATTGCGTAAATTGAAGATTTGTGAATTCCATAAAATAATTATTATAACATTTTATTTAGAAATATGTTTGTTTAGATTAAATTAAGATATTTTATATTAAATTCTTATATTTATTTTGTATTAATATCTTATTTTATATTAAATTAAAGTTTTCGCGCATGCGCGACTACTACTTCCGCGTATGCGCGAAGACATAGAGTAGGACACAATTTTTGTTTGGAATGGCTTCTCTAGTACGTAGTACATATAACTCAATGACTATTGATCATATTAATTCGTAGGTATCAAAACTATACTTGTTATCTTATGTATCACTATTACGCTACGAATACAGTCCATCACAAGTCCACTGCCGAATAAAGGACTTCTCCAGAGACTGTCACAGAGTAGGTACGACCCTGAGCCAACTGCATCCATCGACTACCTGCGTGTTTTATCAGGTCGTCTCACCGTCTAGTCGTCCAATGTTGTGCTTTATCGGTAACTCTGGTTTTATTGCGGATATCATTACGAAGTCTATTACGTAGAGAGACTCCGAGTATAGGCCTCTCCATAGTCCGCTGAGCGACCTTCATTTTACATTAATATGTTGTGTTTAATTTCCTATTTCACGCTTTACTTAGGGAGTAATCCCTCAGCGTAACCAGGTGAGTAAATAAGGCGGTAGAGTGTTACCTTTCTTTCATAGACATGTCCTCCTCACAGTTTTGAGCATAGCGACAAGTTGACATTTTCTGTGGGAATTTTCTTTTTTTTTTTTTTTATGTTAAATTATTTATATTTCAGTCATGTAATGACGCGTACTTCTCTATTCGTTCTCAATCACAGATCATACAGTATCACAGGGTCAATCAAATTGCACACTAACACAAATAACAGTTATTAACTGACCAAATATTGACTTCAGTTGGGTTTTGAACCATAGACCTACAAATAAGCAAATAGGTACCGAATTAAAAATTCGTTCAAAATGAAGTGTAAAATGTTCAGTCCATGGTGTACAACTTGACACTTGAATTTTAATAGAAAGTTTAATAATTAAAATATATGTTACAAGCCCACCATAAACATGATGTTTCAGTGTTATTAAAAACAATTAAATGCTGCTAGGAAAGGGAATAACTTAACATATTTGAAAAACCTGATACTTACACTTAGGAAAGGCTTTATCTAAGGCAGTATTGTCAATCGTATTACTTGTGTGTGTGACCTGTGACTAAGGTGACCTCTAGCACTTTTGACTGCTACGAGACGTCGGTCGGTCATCGGAAGCCATAATATTAATCATTTTTCATAGTCGCTTCTGACGACATCTATGGGACGAAATGGGCTCACCCCATTTCGTCCCATAGATGTCCTGTATCCTCTTATGCCGCCATCATATGGTAAAGAAATTAAGATCATTTTCTACCGACTTCAAAAAGGAGACGGTACTCAATTCGACTGTGTTTTTATGTAGGTATATATGTATCATAACTTTTTTCTGAGTGAACCGATTTCGATGATTCTTTTTTTATTTAAAAGCTAGTGCTTTTCATGTGGTCTCATTTAATTTTTATCTAAATTGGTCGAGCGGTTTAAAAAAAATCAACAATAAATTATATTTATATTGAAGTCGGTCGAATAAAATTTCTAATTTTACCACTTTTGATAGGAGTTTGAGGAAAATTAGTAGATAGAGATATTAGACGATTTTTATTATCTCTTATTACCATTATAGCAGTGGTAATAAAAGATAATAAAAATCGTTAAACAACACGCCGTCTTAGTTTAATTGGACATATTGACATATGAACATTAAATTCTAATACGAAAGTGAAATTTTCAGAAATGTATTAGATTGGATAGTAGCTTAAATTCATTCAAATTGCAGGGAGACTTGAGCCAGCAGGACAGGAGGTGCGTCTTTCTCACAGTCCACGACCTAGGGACCAACCGTAAGTTCCACTTCTCATTTATCATTTACTTAAACGAGTTGAATGTAAATTCAAGAAAAACAACTTCCTTCTGCGTGAATACCATATCTCTGGTACCCTTTGACCTGCAGGACCCAAATTCAAACTCGGTCGAGCTACTACCTTAAGGTATCCACATACCAAATTTAAAGTCAATCGGTCCAGTGGAACGGAAGTTATCGTGCCGGCATACAGACTAACAGACTGCCAGCTAAAACCATTAACTTTCTTTCAATGCTACGCAGAAGGAAGTTAATAAGACCAATAAAGTGATATTACTTTTTAAATTGTTTTCGAAATTTAAAAGTGATTTGAAGAAATTCTTACCAACATAATTACTGAAATGTAAATCATTATAAGAGATATTAATAACTAGCTGTTTCCCGCGACTTCACCCGCATGGAGTTATTTTTTGCGGAACCCTAAAATAAAAGCATCCCAAGTTACTCCTTATAACATCAGCTATCTGCCAATGTGTATAAATATTGACAAATATTGACATTAATATTTATACGATACTAACGTCACTCATTTGTCTTGCATTCCCGGAACCCCTCCACTAACACTTAAACTTTACAGTATGGTATTAAAGTTCAAATTGACTTTTAAGTATTATTACGAATCTTTTGTATGGGAATGTAGAAAAGTGTTGTCTTTAGACTTTTTCAGACAATTTTTTAAATTTTTCTCTTTGTAAGAACCATCTTCGTACTTCAAGGAATATTATTAAAAAAAAAAATAGCGAAATCGGTTTAGCTGGTCTCGAGATTTGCGCTTAGCAACACATTCAGCGATTCATTTTTATATTATAGATTATTGTAAAAGTTTCATAAGTGTTGATTCATAGGCTAATTTTAAGAATGTCCTTTCTGGATGAGTACAAAGTCCTGATTAAACATAAAATCTAAAGGCATTGATATAAAGTGCATAGTAGAATTTTTTGCACTTTTGTTGCTAACAGCCTCGTTGGTCAGTGGGACTGCTGATTTCATTCCAGAGCTGGCAACAAATCAGTCCTTCCTCCTATCAGTTCTCGAGGTTTGTTGTCAAAACAATTCTGTAGCAGCCCGGAGTAAGTAAACGATATTTTACCTCCGTGCCTCGAAATGTACGTAAGACCTTCGGTCTCGCGTCTGATCTTTCTCCGTTCGCGTTGAATTGTCTTCCTATCGCACCATGAGAGTGTGGAAATAGGGAGTGTACATGTGCTTACGCACACACCTGTGCACTTAAAAACGGACCTGCATAGATATTATAGGTTTGGAGGACGTTATGTTGCTATCGTCAATCTCATGTATTAGCGGTTTAAGAGAGAGGCGACGGAGGGAAACTAAAACTGAAGATGGGCAGAATCACCTTCCTGATAACAACGCTAAATTATTGCGATTGCCAACCCACTTGTTAAGCGTGGCAACTACGCTCACAGGAGTTTATGGGAGAGGCCTATGGTCAGCAATGGACTTTTATAGGCTGTAATGTATGGATGGAATGGATTATTCGTTATTAGGTGGTCGGCGGAGGTTTAGCAAGCAGGTGGTGTTGAAGTCAAAAGATATTATAGTTTCCATTACAAACAGTCTGGTTTTAAAACCGACTTCAAAAAGGAGGAGGTTCTCAATTCGAGTGTATGTTTTTTTGTATGTATGTTACGCGATATCTTCGCTGATTGTAAACCAATTTTGATGATTCTTTTTTCTGCCGACTTCCAAAAAGGAGACGGTACTCAATTAGACTGTAAGTTTTTTTATGTGTGTTACCTCATCACTTTTTACTGGGTGAACCGATTTTATCAATTCTTTTTTTGTTTGAAAGCTGGTACTTCTCTTGTGGTCCCATATAAATTTGATCAAGGTCAGACCAATAGTTCTTGAGTTATTCTTATTAACTTATATTGAAGTCGGCTGTACAAAATTTTTAATTTTAAATTATTATTAAATAGGTTAAACTTCAGGGGTGGTTCTATATAAATTGTTAAAGAAAAAAATTCACCCCTAAGGGTAGCAAATAAATAACTTCTTTTTTTGCAATTTGAAGTCGGTTATTACTTTTTGTTATAAGTTATAATTATTCGCAGACACGTCGATGGTGGACTTTGTGAACAGTCCCGCAATGTCGGAGATTAAGGAGCGCTCGTGTTTCATACACGTGGACGTGCCCGGACACGAGGAGAACTCACCGGATCTGCCAGAGTCGTAAGTAGTGATGAAATTATTACGTGGTAGATCCATGCTGCAGCAATATACTGCAGTACGAATGGGTCGGTTCTGCCTGGGTAGGACCACACTCTTACAGGACACCAGCGTTAAACACCAGAATAATGCTACTGTGTTTGAGGTGAGTGCAGAGAACCGGGTGCCCTTTTTAATGGTAACAAGGCATCCCACATTAGTCCTCATGGGTGACAACGCCCTCGCTACTGAATCGAGGATAGATGAAGATGTCTATGGGCACAGAAACAGAAACAGAAATAATTACTGAATAAAACTATTTTTTACGGATTTTATCGCGTTTAATTTATTATTTTAATTCACTAAATTACTTAACTAGTAGTGTTCACGTAAATATAAGAAATCATTACAGAAATAATTAATAGAATCAGGCGTTACTTTGCGGAAGTCCATTATATTAAAGTTGGTAAAAAATTCCTTCGCGTGCATCCACTCGATAAAATAAAATGATTTGTCTTACCTAGTTTGAAGAGCACCTCCCGCCCTCCCTCAATTGCGTGCACTATCCGCGTCACCACTAATTCCAGCACCACTACACTAGGAAAGACACACCACTGACTACAATACGACACGTGTTTCGCCTCTACACGAGGCATCCTCAGGTGAAGTACTTAGCGTAAGTACGTTAAGTAGAGGTGCTGGGATTAGTGGTGACGGGCACAGTGCACGCAATTGAGGGAGGGCGGGAGGTGAGGAGATTCTTTTTTTATACGATAGCTGATAGTTCTCGTGTGGTCCCATATGAATTTAATCAAGTTCAGACCAATGGTTATTGAGTTGTTCTTAAATAACCTATATTGAAGTCGCTTATATTGAAGTCGGCTGTACAAAATTTTTAATTTTAAATTATTATACTTTGAGCAGGTCAAATTTTGTATATTTTTTGGGATTTTGTTAATGTATACATAGTCTCAAGAACGAATTGCTGACTCGGTGGAGTCGAGTAACTGGTACTACTAGCTTTACTTAACTTTCGCTAACATGTAATACGCTACGACGCGTTCTGAGAGTTTTCTGCCGACTTCCAAAAAGGAGACGGTACTCAATTCGACTGTATGTTTCTTTATGTGTGTTACCTCATAACCTTTTACTGGGTGAACCTTTTGTATTTGAAAGCTGGTACTTCTCGTGTGGTCCCATATGAATTGATCAAGGTCAGTCCAATAGTTTTTGAGTTATCTTAATAACTTATACTGCAGTCGGCTGTACAAAATTTTAAATTTTAAATTATGGTCACAATTATTGTTGATTTTGTTTTTTAATAATTTTGTATAAAATATTGAAATGCCATTGAGACATGAGTAACCATTTTTAAAAATTTCTTTTGTTTGTTTGTCCGAGCCTTTCTTCGGAATAGCTGAATCTATTTAAATAAAACTTCACGAGAAAAAATTAGAGATTTTATAGCTCAAAGAACCGACAACTGGTGAGGAGGAAAGGTTCTAGAGTGGCACCCTCGTATCGGGAAACAAAGTGTAGGTCACCCCCCCCACCCCCCCACTAGATAGAGTAACGACCTGATGAAATATACTGAGAGGCCAAAGTTATTATATTTATTTCTTTAAATTTTACTCTAACTGGGTTAAACTCTTCTGCAAAACAAAGAAACTTTAAATGTCAGTCGCATTACCCCATAGCAAGAGCTATAGTATAGTTGTAGCACGAATGGGTCGGCTCGACCGGGAAAGGACCACGCTCTCACAGAACACCAGCGTAAATAGCAACTGAATGTTGCTGTGTTTCGTATAATGAGTGTAGAGAACCGGAGACCCTTATTACTAGAAAAGAGGCTTTTCATCTTAATCCTCAAGGGTGACAACACAGCTGATTTTGGCATCGCATTTTTATTCTTAATTGAGGATAAATGTAGATGTCACAGCGTCCGCTTACCATCAGGTGGCCTGTGTGCTCGTTGGTCACCCTTATTCTATAAGAAAAAAAAACCTTGAAATGTCATGTTATTTTTTTTATACTTAGCAATAAGTTCCTATTTTACGCTGGTCGAGTCGACCTATTCGTGTACAACCATAATATAGCTGCAGCGTGGCTGTACCACGTATGGTGTTGCAGCTACCCGTTCCCGTCGCTGCAGACGCTGGGCGAGGACGTGACTACGGTGCTGGACTTCCTGCAAGTGCAGTATGCGGTGGGACTGGGTGAGGGCGCGGGCGCCAACGTGCTGGCGCGCTGTGGACTCGCGCATCCGCGCCGGCTGCTGGGCTTGATCCTGGTCAACTGCACCGGCTCCACGTCCTCGGTCCGAGACGCCTTCCGCTCTCGCTTCTCGAGGTGGCGCGGCACTGACATCTCCCACTCCGAGGAGGAGTTCCTCATCTATCATAAGTTCGGACACGTGAGTTATCGCAGCTTGACTTTCTCTACAAGGTTTGTTTTCTCTTTCTTCCTCCTTTCGCTTTACTAACATTACAGTGGCTTAGCCAAGATTTGGGGGTATGGCGTTACGGGAAAAGGCAGCTTCCTAACTTAATTTTTAGAACATAATGCCCGAATACTCAAAAGCTGCTCAGTTTTAAGATGCTTTTAAGTCTCGTGCTGTCCCTATCACTTTAAGTCAAAGTGACTGCGACATCACGAGACTTAACGACATCTTAAATTGAGTAGCGTATTGGGTATTTGGCCATTAATTTCAAAAATAGTTTTTACTAAATACTTTGGACTTATGAACGAACAATATAGCATTGAAAGATATGAAAACTTGCTAAGTCTAAGGATATGTAAATTTGTCTTTATTATTTTTATTTTTTTATTTTAGTGCACCCTACCCATTGTTCTTTTTCTTATTTTGTATTTATTTCTTCTTCTGGGTTGTCTGGAAGAGATTGCTATGTAGCAATAAGACCGCCCTTTGTATTTCCCTCAATAGTTGTTATTTTTTATTTTTATTTTTGATGTTGTTATCTTTTCTTGGTGTACAATAAAGAGTATTGTATTGTATTGTATGTAAATATAAAGTAAAAGTAAAGTTGCAGCCTATTTACGTCCCACTGCTGGGCACAGGCCTCCTCTCATTTGTGAGAGGGTTTTAGGGCAAGCGTGTGCGTGTGAATTGTCCACCGTGCTGCCCCAATGCGTGTTGACGAACTTCACATGTCTTCGAAATATTTTTTTTTCTTATTACTCAGACATGCAGGTTTCCTCACGATGTTTTCCTTCACGGCCGAGCACGTGGTAAATCAGCACTTAAAATTGCAATTAACAATTTCATTGGTGCCGGCGGGGATCGAACCCGGGTTGCTCGAGTACTGTGAAGCTTATAGCGAGCGCTAACCATCTGCTACAGCTACCACGGCTTCAAGGATATGTAAAAGAAATTATATTTCTCCATTAACATTCTATACGGTATACAGACTTTTATCGATTTTATATTTTTAAGATATTTGCGAAAATGTCTCGAGGGGTTCCGTGCGGCAAATACTCACACAGCTGACACTGCGCCACTGACAATCACTTTTTACATTGGTTTCCAATTGGGTTGTAATACGAGTTATACGAGTAGATACTCTTGTCAACGACAACAAAGTTTTATGATATTTAGAAAGAAAATATAGTTAGCTGAAGATTTACCTAAAACAATTTTTGTTAGTAAAAACCCTCACATTTTGTGAATTAAATTATGCATTAAGTTAATTAGTCAAGGCTTTTGAATAAACATCTTTTGTCTAATTACCGAAATACAAAATTGAGTAATTTTTATACCTACCTGCGAATAAAAACTAAGCAGACATTATAATTCCCGCACATTTATTATAAATACAAATATTATAAAAGATGCAAAGTTGACCTTCTTAATTTTTCACCTTATTTCTATAATTTTTTGCGGTTTTCAGATTTGTTTGTATTTTTACAGAACTAACTTTTGATATTTGATTTTTAAGTTGCTTTAGTTTAATTCTCTGATGGACGGTTTACATTACGTTATTGCTTTAGCAGAGAAAAATAAATAAAAATAGATCCTATTTGATTTTTATTAAGATGAGAATCGTAAGTCATTTATTTTATAGAATAAGGGTGACAAAGGAGCACACAGTTCACCTGTTGGTAAGTGGATGCTGTGTCCTATAGACATCTACATATATACTTGACTAAAATTCAAAATACCGATGTGTCGTTACACATGAATATTAAGATGGAATGTCTCGTTTCCAGTTGAAATGGTCTCCGGATATCTACATTCACCCTACGAAACTCAACGGCATTGAGCTGTTACGCAGGCATTTTGTGAGAGCTTTGTCCTTCCACAATCGAGCTGGCTCTACCATGTACATAATGGTAGAATGGAATGGTACTAAAGCGTTTACCTTATCACTAAAACCTACCGTTTGCACGTTTTTACTAATATACATAAACACATATGTACCCTCTCAGAAATGATAGGAGGCCTGTGCCCAGCAGTGGGACGTATATATGCTGTAACCTAAACATACAGACAATTTTTTATCCGCTTACGTAAGAGAAAAAAAGAGGTTATATTTTTCCATTTTTTTATTGTCATTATTGCTTCTGATGGTTCTATTAGTCCTACAGAGCTTTACAGAGATTTAGCTAGTTATACGTGTAATAAATCTATAGAAAACTATGTGTGTGAAAATAAACTCATCGCGCCACCAACTGCATCTGTATTTCTATCCGATTACAATGAGGATGTCTTCAAGGCAAGAGTGAAAAGGCTTTTGTTAAGTTAGTGCGCGTCACCATCTTCGGTTGTATCACCACTTACCACCAGGTGGGATGGTAGTCAAGCGCTGGCTTAGATTAGTAAAAAAAATCTAGACCGGTGACTGGATCCAGTGTTAATGAAGCAAGAAGTTTGGTCTGCCAAGTGTGGCGAATATGGCACCTATTCGCGCCAGTAGGAGACGCTTGTTCGGTAATGTAATTCTAATAAATTTATTCGTGCGTCAGTAGTTTTAGCGTCAGTAGCCTAATGGCAGGGTGCGGACCGTGAACTCGAAAGTTCGTGGGTTCAAATCCGCCATTCGATTACTGTCGTGAATCACTTCTAACAAGCATTTTAAGCTTACCAGAAGTGGTTAAAAGGAATATTAGTGATGTTTAATAGCATTACTAGTATTTTTTTTAAATAAAAAAAAGAGCCACGCTGCAGCTATATTATAGTTGTAGTGCAAATGAGACGGCTCGATCCGGGTAGGACCACGCTCTCACGGTATACCAGGCGTAAAATAGTAGCATAATGCTGCTGTGTTTCATCCTTAGTAAGTCCTAAGGGGTAACAACGCATATACATTTTTTTTTAAACATATGATGAATTTTGTTTCTTTATTGAGGGTAGATGTAGATGTCTATGGGCCACAACATTCACTTACTATTAAGTGGAATGTGTGCTTGTTTGTCACCCTTATTCTATAAAAAAAAAACAAGTCAATATATTATGCAAAACTAAATTATGCTTTAACACCAGCAAAAAACTCTAAATTAAAATTAATTAACATAACGCGATATATCCTTTGAGTTTATTGTTCATGACGAATAGGTATGGTTTTAAGCAAAAAATTGATAACAAAAAAATTTAATTAAGTGCATATTATGTGCTGTGTAAATAAATAGCTGGTGTGGTTTTATTTTCATGGTAATTACATAATTACCGTTTTAATGTGATTATCTAAAAGGATTTTTTATAGAATAAGAACAAATAACGAGCACACAGCCCACCTGATGGTAAGTGGATGCTGTCGCCCATAGATATCTACATCTACCCTCAGTAAATAATCAGAATGGAGATGCATTGCAAGAGTTCTAAGATGGAACGCCTCGTTTCTGGACAACACACAGTGGCATTAAGTTGCTATTTTACGCTGGTACAAATCGTGGCACGTAAGTCTAGCGCTGAACAAAACGTGGAGGAGATAGCTGCGCATGGATACTGTCGCGCACATATCACGTATCACGCGGGACGGAATGCGATTGGCGAGTCAATCAGCGCGTGCTAACGATACGCACGCCCGAGCCGCGATCCGCTTACTACCCCATGATATCTTATTTTCGACTAATCCGCAATAACTGTCACCGCTAGACTTTCGTGCCGCGACTTATATTCTGTTTTCCGATTGAGCCGGGCGTGCTAGAACAATAATATAGCTGTAGTGTAGCTCTACCACGTATACAATACGTATTTTTTATGCATACATAGTATATGTTTATATTAATTTATAGTATGTATAATGTTTTTTTAAGTATGGTATGAGTTGGCTGCAGGTGCAGTAGTCACTATGTACTGCATCCACTTCATACTAAGGATGGACAAGCAGGATAGAAAGGCTTCAGATGCAGTTCACTCGATGGCAAAAGGCTATTGCACTCCATGAAAACAGCCAAAGCCAAATAAAGAGGACTACGAATGCGTTACCTCAAAACTTGAAAACGAGACTATACAACCAGTGCGTGTTGCCAGTGATGACCTATGGAACGGAACTGAGACGTGGTTCAATGCTGGCCGGATGAGGAAACTCAAGGTTGCTCAGCGAGCTATGGAGAGGGCTATGTACGGAGTTTCTCTGCGTGGTAAACTTAGAAATGCGGATATCTGCAGTAGAACCAGAGTAACCGACATAGCCCAACGGATTAGTAAGCTGAAGTGGCAATGGGCCGTCCATATAGCTCGAAGAACCGACAACCGATGGGGAAAAAAGGTTCTCGAGTGGCGGCCTCGTACCGGCGAACGAAGTGTAGGGCGTCCTCCCACTAGATGGAGTGACGACCTGGTAAGACATGCAGGAAGTGTATGGATGCAGGTGGCTCAGGACCGTGTTTTGTGGCATTCCTTGGGGGAGGCCTATGTTCAGCAGCGGACTTGTGAAAGGCTGTAATGATGATGATGATGACAAATGCGTTGTTACCTCTGAGGGCTAAGATGGAATGCCTCACAACTTGTAATTATAATGGCTCTCTATAACCTTCAGGCGGGGTCACACCAATGCAAGAACTGTTATTTAATACCAGAAACATGTGTGACTCCTTGACCGAAAGGAAGTCGGAAGAAGAAGGAAATGATGAGTCTATTCATTCAAAATTGGCCAAGCGTTTTCAATTATTTTATTGCATTGAGTTATATGTACTACTTTTTTTATATAGGATCGAGTGACAAACGAGCTCACAGTCCACCTGATGGTAAGTGGTTGCTGTGGCCCATGGACATCTACGAGTACATTTATCTTCGTTTGCGAATCAAAACGCAGATGCGTTGTCACTCGTGAGGACTAAGATGGAATGCCTCTTTTCCAGTAAAAAGGGTCTCCGGTTCTCTACACTCACCATACGAAACACAGCAGTGTTAAACTGCTATTTGACGCTGGTATTCTGTGAGAGCGTGGTCCTTCCCCGGTCGAGTCGACCCTTTCGTACTACAACTATACTGCTAATATAGCTGCAGCGTGGCTCTACCACGTAAAAACACGTACTAGAAAAGCCATTCTAAACAAAAAAATGTGCACTTGAAATCTTGTATTATTAGCGCCGCTCCACACTGCATGTATATTGAAACCACAGACTAACTAGTAGATTGAAACCGCACTAATGACATACTGTACGGATTGCAGTACAGTTCAGTTGAACATAGTGTATGTGCCAAATCTAGTACATATATATCGATGTTTTATTGCAATTAATAACACTTACCTTTTTTTTTATAGGATCGGGTGACAAACGAGCACACAGTCCACCTGATGGTAAGTGGTTACTGTGACCCATAGACATCTACATCTATCCTCAATAAAGACTCAAGATGCAGATGCGTTGTCACCCGTGAGGACTAAGATGGAATGCCTCTTTGCCAGTAAAAAGGGTCTCCGGTTCTCTACACTCACCATACGAAACACAGCAGCGTTAAGCTGCTATTTTACGCTGGTTTTCTGTGAGAAGGTGTCCTTCCCCGTTCGAGCCGACCCATTCGTGCTACAACCATAATATAGCTGCAGCATGGCTCTACCACGTAGAAAAACCTTATCTTGTAGCGCACAATCACGATATAGTATTACTTGCTGATAATATCTCTACAATTCCTAAACTCTAAATAATGCTCTATCAAAATTAATAAATTGTTTTATTGGTTTCACATCAACAAATTGTTGATGTGAAACCAATAAAACAAAATGTATTAAATTTACAATAACTAATGTTAAGTATTCGAATACCAAAGCGCTCTTAAATGGGGAGGAATTGAGTATTGTGGATACCACTGTTTTCCTTATATTACTTCTGTAGTATATGATGTAAGAAAGATCAGAAGATTGACTAATGTTGAGATAGCTAGATTAAATTATTTAAGTTACTTTCATAGCGTGACGTCTTATGGAATGAGGTAACGCGACTGAGATGGAAGCCATATTTGTTTTGCAAAAGAGGGCCGCACGGGCGACTTATAACTTAAATTGTGAAGTCCCTCAGAGAAAATATTAACTAAACATAAAATTTTATATTGCTTTGATATGAATAAATATATTTGTTGTAGGGACTGAGGAGATTTTTTACACAATATCTCTGATTGGGAAGTTGCGTTATGAATAAAATTTTATCGGTTTCTAGAGCATTAGATAAATACACAAAACAATACCTCGATGGTTTGTTCCTTAATGTTTTTCACACTTTTTCATCTCTTTTTAATTTTTTCTATTTAAGTATAAGTATGGTCTGTAGTTTGGTCTATTCATTTATTATGATCTAATTAGTATAAAATATAACTAATAATACAGAAAGTAACATTAAATCTTACATTTTCCATGTAATCTGTAGAATATTTCACCTCATTCCTACGTGGTGCCACCCTAGTGTCAGAAAAAGTCGTGAATGCCTTACTATAGTGTCAGCGAGGATCGCACCCATGTTTCTCGCTTGTTGTGAACCTTACTCCGAACGCTGCTACGTATATAGGCTGTTGCTAACTTAACGAGCATATCCCCCTCTTTTTCCCACACAGCAAATCTCAAGCGACTCCTGCGAAGTGACGGAACGCGATCGCATGCTCACCGAGTACCGCTCGCGGCTTCGCGGCAACCTCAACACGCACAACATCAAGCAGTACGTCAGAGCGTTTATCAAGTGAGTACTGTTGGACAAGGGCCTATTGGGAGAGTTCCTTGAGAGTCTCGTTTGCCTTCTCTTACGTAAAAAAGACGAAGCAAGTGTCCCAGTCCATGCGTTTTGATGTGCCATGTCCATATCGATTGGTTATCATCCGGTAAATGTAGAGCACCGTAGACATTTTTATTAGTAACGAGGTATTCCAGCTCAGGGCATTCCTGTGCTCAGTGGTAACACATTTTCATTTTGATTTACTATCGGAAATAGATGTACATGCGTATAGGCGACAACAACCACTTACCACCAGGTGGACTGTGTGCTTGTTTGTCACGCTTAGGCTGCCTCTCCACTAAGGCAACGGAGCGGAGAAACAGAGAATTGCATAAAAGCTCGCAAACCTCTGTCCACTGAAGCGGAGCGGAGTTTTATGCAATCCTATTGGTTAATATTTCTCCGTTTCTCCGCTCCGTTGCTTCGTTCCGCGTCGGTGGACAGGCAGCCTTATTTAAAAAAAAATCTCACATCTTTGACGCAGATACTCGTCAACGGTTTTACGATTGGCGTAAAGAGACTTTATACAACCATATATTGGAAGTCAAAATATATTTTTCACAGTCCATTACCCACAGTCATCTCTTACGACACCCACTGAAATGGGGGTGATGGATTCTCTTACATCGCCACATGGTAATTCTCCTATATTAATACTTTAAGCCTGCAATGAAGAGACCGGCTCTTAATATAATATAAAATTAAAAATTTTGTACAGCCCACTTCAATATAAGTTATTAAGAATAACTCAAAAACTATTAGTCTGACCTTGATCATATTTATACGGGACCACACGAGAAGTATCATCTTTCAAATAAAAAGAGAGAATCATCGAAATCGGTTCACCCAGTAAAAAGTTATGAGGTAACACACAAAAACAACATACAGTCGAATTGAGTACCATCTCCTTTTTGGAAGTCGACACAAAATAGGAGGTATTGTCTTCTTAATAAGTCCAGATAAGATGCTGCTGCCATTTCCTGGTTCAGTTCCCCTCTGTCGCCTCTTAAGAAAATCTCGGAATGATATGGAATAGTGGATTACACGGCTTACGGATGTATTATGATGTTATGAAATTTGTTTAAATTTTTTTAAAACCTTATTTAGTGTAATATAAAAATGACGAATTTCGCAAATCAAAAATTATTCGTTTGCATTGTTGCTTTCAGCCGTAAGGACTTGATTCTTCGCGGCTGCCAGCCCGACATCTTGCTGATCACGGGTACATTGAGCCCCTACGCCGGCGTGATAGAGAAGATGTATAAGGAACTCGACAAGGATAAGGTCACCATTCTCAAGATTGACAAAGTTGGCGACGTGCTTGCTGAAGCTGTAAGTGCTTAAAAACATAAATATAGGCTGTGTTAAAAGGTGATAAAACTAATAAGGTAAGATCCGGTAATAAAATAAAATGATATGTCTTACCTAGTTTGAAGAGCACCTCCGGCCCTCCATCCATTGCGGCCACTATCGCCGTCACCACTAATCACATCACTACTACACCAGGGACGACGGCGGTCAGACACCGCAGAATCTACTTCACTTGAGGATTTTTATAAGCTTTATGTAAAGCTCAAGTCCGGTCGTGCACGGAGTATTGCTGCCATATATAGGCTGGTGCTGCAAAATGCCACCAAGCAGCTTTGGACTCAATGGAAAGGCGTTCTAAGAGGCTTATTGATGACCCGAATTTGGTTAAAACCAATCTTAACAGACTCGAACACAGACGCAAAGCCAGCCTTTCGGTTTTCTATAGGATGCATTTCGGAGAGTGTGCGCAGGAATTGCATATGTGGCGGCGCTGTCGTCGCGCCACAAGCGAAACACATCGAGACCTAAATCGCACTAACAAAGTTCCGAATTTAAAGCAGCATAATATATAGAATAGCTTCGAACTACCAAACGGAGCGTTGGCCGCTCCCCGGGATTAACACCTTGTCCGGCGGGAGATCTCCCCTTTTCCATCTACCCTCCACAGTGGGACTGTGTAAAATGTGTAGAAGTATAAGCATCATTTTGATGCTTCTGTTTTGTCAGCCACATGAATCAGCCCAAAGTGTCGGGTTTTAAATATGCGCGAATAAACTTGAATGATGTGGCGGAGCACACACATAATTTAATTCCTCCCTCTCCCTTCCACCATCGGACAATGAGACGTTCGGCCAGTGGAGACTTTCGTTACTGACTTACCACGCATTCGAACCAAACGGTTCCGCAACGTCGTTCATCATGCGTACATCAAAGTTGCCACCATCTGTCTTTCCATTCGATTACAGTGTGGGTGTCTTCAAGGCAAGAGTGAATAGTCTTTTGTTAAGTCAGTGCGCTTCACCATCTTAGGCTACATCACCACTTACCATCAGGTGGGATCGTATATAAGCGTTGGCTTAGTAGAATAAAAAAAAAAGATGTCTCGTGTATAGGCGAAGCATGTGTCGCATTATTATCGATGGTGATGTGTCTTTCCTAGTGAAGTGGTTTTAGTGGTGACGGGGACAGTGAGGGGTGGGGGGGGGGGGGGTGCTCTTCAAATTAGGTGAAACAAATCATTTTATTTTATTACGCAGATCTTAGCAAAATTTTAACATCTATAATATAATGGATTTTCCTGAAGTAACACCTTGTAGCGGTACTGTTGTCGCGCCACAAGCGAAAATACATCGAAGCCTAAATCGCGCTATCGAAGTTCCGAAGTAAAAGTATATATACCTATATATAGAATAGCTCCGAACTACCACTCGGAGCGTTGGCCGCTCTCCGGGCAGAACTCCTTCCCTGGCGGGATCTCCCGTTTTCCTTCCACCGGCCAAACCTGAATATTAGGTTGATATTTAATAAATTGCAAACTAGAACCACTCTTATCTCTTATTCTCTTAAGTTAAAGTTCATTTGAATTTGCTTCTTTTCGTAGTCCCTAAACGTTGTCGGTTTTCTGTAAGTTAAATTTGTTCATACAATAAATAAATACAAAAACTATCGCGCCTATCACCCCGTTGCGTGGGCAGAGACTACAGACTTCGACTAAGCACGATCCTTTTTTTGTTTTTATTTATTTAGAGGCTTTTATCCCGTACATACAGAAACAGAAACAGAAACAGAAACTTTTTTATTCAATATAGATTATAAATAATACTTATTGAAAGTCACTCTTTTGTATCATTACCACTGGTTCGAAAAAAAAACCTGTGTCCTGGGAAGAACCAGCAAGAAACCCAGCGGGACTTTTTTTTTAAATAACAGCTTACAATCATGTATGTTACACAAATTAACAACACAATAAATTAGAAATAGCTTGCTAGCGATCGCTTCATTTCCAGGGGTTATTATCATCTATAAATTCATTAATATTATAATAACCCTTTTTATACAAACTTAGTTTAATAAAGGTTTTGAACTTTGAGTAGGTCAAATTTTGTATATTTTCTGGAATTTTGTTGTAAAAGCGTATACATCACCCCAAGAATGAATTACTGACTCGATGGAGTCGAGTAACTGGTACTACTAGCTTGTGTCTGTTCCTAGTATTTACAGAATGAATATCACTTTTTTTTGTAAAACTACTTTTATTTTTGTGTACGTACATTACATTTTCATAAATGTATTGAGAGGCCAAAGTTAATATATTAATTTCCTTAAATTTTTGTCGCAGCGACTCTTTAGGCTTTAAATCATAAATTGCTCTTATGGCCCTCTTCTGTAAAACAAATATAATTTCAGTGTCAGCTGCGTGTCCCCATAGCAAAATACCATACGACATTATGCTATGGAAATAGCTAAAGTAAACTAGTCTAGCTGTTTCAACACTAGTTAGACTTCTAATCTATTTTACGGCATATGCTGCAGAACTAAGTCTGCTTGCTAGTTTTGATATATGGGGGCTCCATTGAAGCTTCGCGTCTAGTGTGATTTCAAGAAAAATGGCGGTATCTACAAGACTCAGTTTTTCCCCATTTAAAATTACATTAGTATTTAATTGTTTGACATTTGGAGTCATAAATTTCATACATTTCGTTTTAGTGCCATTTAAATGCAAATTATTAACATTGAACCAATTTACTAATTTAGATATAGCATTATTTACTTCGTCATATTTTAGCAATTGTCGACTTAATTTGAAAATTAAAGAAGTGTCATCTGCAAATAATACTATATCATGGTTATCTCCTACAATTTAAGGTAAGTCATTAATATATACAAGAAACAGAAAGGGGCCGAGAATTGAGCCTTGAGGCACGCCTATTTGTACCATCGACCTGGAAGAACTCATATTGTTAATGACAACTTTTTGCGTTCTCTTACTTAAATATGAAATAATTAATTTAAGAGCATCACTTCTTACACCGTAGTGTTGAAGTTTCCTGATTAATGTTTCATGGTGAACACAATCGAAGGCTTTGGATAGGTCACAAAATATACCCAAAGCATTCTGCGAATTCTCCCATGCATTAAATATATATTTAATCAGCTCAACACCGGCATCAGTTGTCGAGCGACCCCTTGTAAAACCGAATTGATTTATATGTAGCAATTTATTAATATTAAAGAAACTTAACATCTGATCTAAAATTATTTTTTCAAAAATTTTACTAAATGTTGGTAGTTCAGAAATTGGTCTAAAATTGGCGGGGTGTAATGTACTACCATGGTATGGCCTAGTCAATCTATTTAAAACATAAAAGATTTTTAATATTGATATGGTCACTATAAGATGTTGTTAGGTTAGCTAATTACGTTATAACTTACGACAGAAGGACCCTTAAGTAGGGACTGAATAAATTAACCGACTTGGTATTACATGGATCTCACAACTTTTTACGGTAGAAGAACTGAGTTGCGAGACTTGGTTTTTTTTACAAGTTATGTTTTTGATGGCATCTCATTTCTTTTTGTAGATAGTTATATCTAGGTATCTATCTACACCTATTATTCCATTATATTATACATATATAGGTACTCTGATTCATTCACTGCAAATGTAACTTGGTAATCCTATATATTTATATGGGATTACAAAGCATTTTTTTTATTTATGCAGTTGGTGTATCTCGAAAACTGGACTGAAATTGCAAAATATTTTAATTTTTTCTTGATTTATGTACTAAACGATAATTGTATTCCAAATTTGAAGCTTCTACGTCTGCTAGAAGTGCCTTAGAGTTTGATGATCGGTCAGTCAGTGGGTGACAAAATTAAGAAACTGACTAGATATATAATGACTAGTAATTCATAAACTACTGGTTCAAATTTAATGAAATTTGAAATATACCGAGTTTATACAATGCCTACTTAGTTACTAAAATTCAGGCTTCTGGTTTTACTTTTATTCACAACGAGGTTATATTATAGAGTTTCGAGGATGGCCTAAGCTGCTTAGAGAAAAGGATGGTACGGCCGGCCATGTCGCTTTGTTATGTTATATATTATCATTACCCACGTATAATAAAACCATACCATGCTTTAAAAAACCTATAGCGCCATCTAGGTAAAATTAAAGTAATTAGTTGATTATAAAACTAAAATAAAAACTACGATATTTAGATAATAACGGATAGGAATAATATAATAACAACTCAAAATGGGATAATGTAATTTTTCAATCTCACAATATACATTTTAAATTTTTTTGTAGCTGCAAATGGGAGCTATATGCCTACTGCCGAGCTCCTATGATAGACAGCGTGATGAATTATAATTATTCCAACGGTTCGATCCCTATTCACCACGATTGTGAAAGTCCCATCCAAATCGGTTCTCAGGTTTTTGCGTGATGCGTGTTCAGACAGATAGACAACCTTTCCCAAAAAAAAAAAATTGTTTTGGCATCTGTATCGATCATATAGTACACCCCAAATCAAATTTCAAAAAATATACAATGTACAGAAATCGTCATGTCAGAGTTTTGTTATAGTATAGATAGAAGAAGATAGATAGATAAAATAGATAGATAATTGAATTTAAAAAAAGTAAAACCTGAATTTAAAGAAATAATAAAAATATATAAACATCGAAATCAGTTGACGTAGTAAAGAATTATTCGCCAATATGTCGTACAGACACAGCATAAGCCCTTGCATATTAAAGAGTTTTTTTTTTATAGGATAGGGTGACAAACGAGCACACAGTCCACCTGATGACCTGAATAAAGACTAAGATGGAATGCCTCTTTTCCAGTAAAATGGGTCTCCGGTTCTCTACACTCACCATACGAAACACAGTAGTATCAGGCTGCTATTTTACGCTGGTATTCTGTGAGAGCGTGGTCCTTCCCCGATCGAGCCGACCCATTCGTGCTACAACTATACTACTAATATAGCTGCAGCATGATTCTACCA